CCGAGTCCCGCACAATTTGCCCTAACAAAGCAGATGTGCGCAAATGCATTTCCTCCTTCCTCCTCCGGGAAGCGGCAAGAGGTCGTAAAGCTGCACGAGGAATTAAAAAAATCTGAGTAAGCGTTCGCCCTCTAACCGTTGATCTTGGCAGAGTTTTGGCATACTAAACCGCAGTGCTTGTGGCCGATTAGAGACATACGGCAAAAAGATAAACATTTTATTCTCTAACCTACAAGTTGTTTTTCTTTTTCTCGCGAAGTTGCAAAATATTCTTATTACGGACGCCCGCCGTTTTCACGTTGAACGTGTCCACATGCTTTTTTAGGACCCGTTTGGTCTTAAAAACCCAATCTAGAAAGCACTGCTCATGGGAAGGTGCTGGAATAATTGCAAACTTGTTTACTGGTTTTTTTGCTTCTGGATTTTCCTTAGCGTCTGGCCTCCTGTAAAATTCACTGCTGGTAGCACAGCACTCTTCCCAATTCTCCACAATTGGCGGACGCACCTTCACACTGAATGGAAAGAATCCAGGCAATGAAATTATCCTACACATTCTGAGAACCAAAATCTTATTCTTTGGGTGGAGGGGGCTGATCGTGATAGGCTGCCAACAAGTGTGCCGNGAAATTATCCTACACATTCTGAGAACCAAAATCTTATTCTTTGGGTGGAGGGGGCTGATCGTGATAGGCTGCCAACAAGTGTGCCGGCGAGGTTTCCAACAAATATTCCGATGCTCTCAAAAGACCTGTTACTGTCTTTCGGCTCAAAGCCTATTTTCGGTGAATTTATTCATAAGTTCTTGAAACCGGCCGCGCCCCTACATGGGGTAGCGCTACTGGTGTGATGCTGGGGTTTTCACCTGACACCCATATATCATTGGCTGTTTTTTCCGCGACCCATGTGGGCATTTTATAGATTCCGGGAGCAGTTTTGAAGGCTTGGGGCAGAGGGTGACAACTACCCTCTGGTGTTTTGCGCTGTGCCTGTGATTCTCGTGGGCCCGGCAGTGATTTCCAGCGTTGTATCTCAGTATCTTTTTCACCGAGCCATGTCTCCATCCTATTGGTCTTAACGTGTAACTGGTTGTTTTCGTTCCTAAAATGAACCTTGTCATTTATTTGCTGGTTATTTTGGGGCCCCTTCTGGTTTGGCTGGTGCTGCGTGTGGCCTGCCTGCCCTTGCATCCCCACCGATTGTTTCTGGGCGGCATCTTGTATTTAAAAATTTTCGTCCGTCAGCTGTGCCCTATCCAGCTTGTACTCCTGGTATGTCACCAGTTTTTTCCCTTAAAGAGCCACCCGTTCGCTTAGAAAGTCTCCATGTTCCTTTTCTACCCCCTTTTGAAAATCTTTATTCTTTGGCACGGTGAAAGCCACCATGGAGCGTTACAAATCAAATTAGTTTGTTTTGTTGGGGTCCAGATGGGCAATGGGCTTATTGTTTTCAATAGTCAAAAAAAATGCAACGCGATTTACCTGTATACTAAACTCTGCCCCATAGCCAGGGTAAAAGACATTTGACCGGAATCTTATACGAGGGGCTCGGGCGCCATTAGACGCCATCCGTTCGACGTTTGCGAGAGATTTCTGCGTTGTGGCCAACATAGTCGTAACGTGTTTTTTACTTACTTCTTTTTCAGAACTTACGATTTTTGGCATCCTACGTAGCAAGTATAAAAGAACCAAACGAGGAATATGATACGTTTTCGGTTTCCATATAAAAAAAGGTGCGGGCTTGATCGTTCCTTTCTCAGGCCCCTCGCGGGCTCCGAAAAACAAAAGACATTTTTGATCCCCCAGCGCTTTTGCTTCGCAGCGGCGCCGCTATGGGGCCGCATTCGGCCGAGAGCCTGGGGTACCGTCTTCTCTTCCCTTCGATGCTGGCCATGGCAGAGGGCCGTGGAAGCGGGTTTGGTGGGACAGCCGGATTCCCCACGCATCATATTACGCGCCTTCTTCTCATTTCTTTTCTTCCAGCGACATAGCCTTTCGAATGTCATTTAAGTCGTTGGCCAAAAGCTTCTTCCAAGGAGAAGTTAACACGAATCTCTTAGTGGGCACCTCCTCTTTTCCTTCGGCCGCGCACAGCCAAACTTTAGGTTCACCTGGGGTCATCGGACCGATTTTAAGCTCACATAGCTTGGACTCAACTTGTATTCCTTTGCCTGGAAAAATTACAGCAGACATTTTTTTATAACTTTTTTCTCCATGGTTAGTGGTGTTGAACCTCAGTCTTAGATTTTCTTTTTTCTCTCCTCCAAAGGCCCAAGAATACCTGCTTCGCTAAAATTGACGCTAAATATCACCGCTAATTTCTCGGGAGAAACGTGTTGAAGAGCACGCTGCTGATTATCAATGTATCGGGCATGGCATTTCTTTGCAGGAAAGCATTGGGTTATTTAAGATAGTCCCACCCCTGCTTGGAAAACTTCTTAGGATCAGTCCAAAATACACATAATCTTCTGCAAAGCTTAAATCCTTCTTCTGTCTCGAGAATGGAGACGTGTGAAATCCAGGAAGTGCACCATTTATCTGAAGCATGGGCGATTTTGACTTTAATGGGTGTTGTTTTTAATCACCCATCCAAAAAAAAATATGAATTTTTGCATCTCTAAAGATTAATATTGGAGAGGAAAACGAAACTTTAATATACCTAGAGTTTGGCATAATTTATGGACCCCATTCCATTCAACTGTTAGACCCACCGGTGAGAGAGCAGATATCTGAGTTTTTCTCGCCTAATAAAACCTTTGCACGGGCTGGGGTTTATTCCGCAAATCCCCTTTAGCAGAATGAAGTTCAAAACCAACCTGTTACCACAAAATCGCCCAAGCGCCACCATCGAACCACGTTGGCTTTTTGCTTCTGTGAAATGGGGAATGCTGCTGCGAATAGTCTATACCTTACCTTCCTCTCTCAAGCAAAAGAAGAGAGCCAGAGAGACCTTATGTCTAATTCCCATCGCGAAAACAATGCCCCCAGTTTGCATAGCCGGGGGTCTTCGAGTAGCATCGAAACATTCCAATTATAGGAAGATTAAAAGCTTGCGATTAACTTGCGAAAAGAAGGTGCTGAAAGCGCCCTTAACCCGCCCCCCACGCTCCCCTTAACAGGTTCTACCCTTTCGCGATGCCCGTCAGTAAAACCTTTACCCCACGCGAGATGCTATCCGCAGAATTATTTTCCGACGCGACATAGCCCCGTGTGGCGTTCAAGCCGTGGTCCCGCAGAGCCCTGTCGATGCGCTCCGCCTCCTAAACCAGCACGTCGGAATGCGCATTGCCTTTCTTCATAATATGCATTGCTGTCGCGTTGCCGATGCGCATATGAAGTGTAGCAGGCGCATTCCCCTCAAAAGCGGGCGTGGCCAATCCGGCGGCCGTCGCTTCGGCCTGTGAAATAATATGCGGGGCGCGTTTCCACGCACCCACCCTGTGGCCCACACGCCCCAGCTATCTTTAAACAACGGCGCACCGCATTCATATAAAGAAGCGTCGGACACTAAATTCCCTGAAGTCGATTTGGCCCTCAGTGGGTTTACGGAATTGTTCTGCAACAAAGTGTCCAACCGCCCCGCCTCACCTTGAGGGTACAACGGGGCGAAACTACCGGGCCATGGGCCGCCCACAGCCCCCTGTTGAGTTGCGGTGGTCTTCGGCGCACCATTTTTAAAAAATAAATAATGCCGAAAAAAGAGAAACCCCCTGAACCCCCGCCGCATGCGCCATGCGTGGGGCAAGGCTTTTCAATACCCCCCACCGAAACCTTTTTGAGGGGCGCGGCGCCCTTTAATGTCTGTAACGTTTTGTAACGGGGGATGCTGCGTTTGCTGCATGGTTTAAAACTAAGCCCTATGAATTCATAATGCGCGGTGGGGGCCCCATGCTCTTCCACCGCCGGGCCGCATTCGAGCATGTTTTCCGCAACGACGCCCCCCCCCCCACAGCTCTACGCTTTACGCGGCCCTGCAATACAAATACCATCCATCCACACGTGTAAAGCTAGCTCCGGCAGGGGTGCACAACGCAGTTTGCGGCTTTAGGGTCGCCAGCCAAAACCCTTGTGATGGTATGCATGATTTGCGGGCTGCATTTATACTCCATTGGGAGCCGTGTGAACTCTACCAGCCCCCCTTTTCCGTGCGACCACGGAAATTTATGCGCGTTTCGGCTGGGAAGCCTATCTGGAAAAAAAGGATGCCTTGAGATCCAAAGTGGCGGCAGCCTCACCATAAACCGCACCCAGGTACTCGGAAATATGCCCCAGAGGGGCCATGGCCTCGCAGTCCTCTTGTTCATTTTTTTGCCTTTTGCCAGGCAATGAAACGCCGCCGCAGCCCAGACGGTTTTTCCTTCACGATCGGAAAAGGCGCAACCCAACCGGTAGTGGGTAGCTTTGATGCGGTTTGAATAATCCCAGCCCTCTTCATAACCTGAGCTCCCCTCCTGTTATCCTCAACAGAGGCTCTCGCCCCCCTGCCCTAGAAATAGCTTGCTGTTGCACCAAGTCCAACACTGTATTAAACCGTTCCAGGGCCTTAGAATTGAGTCGGCTTGGGATCCAGCGTAAAGAAAGAGTATCCACGCCTACTTGTTGTAATGGTAACCTTGTTTTATCGCTCTTATCGGCCGCCCGTGTTTGGTGGGTGCGTCGCAAAATGCTATGCCCTTGAAAAATATCTCCCTCATCCTGCCCTCTGTCCGGAAAGGCCAATGGAGACATAGCCCATTTGCTTACCCCGTCTGCACATGTGCCGTCAGGCGTGCCATCTTGTTTACCAGGGCGACCCAAGGCCCTATGTAACGAGCTGTGCTTCGTGGCAGCTCTAGGGGGTCTGCGTGTTTCCCCAACTGGGCCGGCAGTCGAGGGTCGAGATCGTGTTCGAACACCGCTGCGGCTGCATGCGCCACCACCCCTCTTTTTATAGAACGCGCCCTCATGCCGAATGGGCGGAGTACATTTTCCATGCTCCGTGCGGTTGGCGTTGTGAGCCGTTCTCCTCCACCATTCCCGCGGTGACGCCTCTCACCCTTTTTGCATCTTTTCCCCCGATAACTACCTATCGCGCTGCTCTGTGAGGGTTGATTTTGAATGTCTTTGGGGGGCCCCCCAATTTGCAATGAGGGCTTCCTTGTTTTGAAGGTGGGAATGAAATTTTCCTTTTCGAGTAGAGCGATTTCGCCCCACCGAGCAGCTGTGACCCAGGCGTGTCGTAGGGTTACCCGGTCGTTTTACGAGGTTAAAATATCGCTGATGAGATACGATTCCCACCTCTCCATGGGGCGGGCCTGTTTAATGCGGCTTGCGGCCGCCTTTGATTGAAGACCGGCCAAAAACATCTCAGCTGGTGACCCCCCCCGAGGCCAAGAAGGTCAACAAAGTTCTTGTGTATTGCACCGTGCTGCTTTTGGCCGGTTTTACACTTGTAATAAAAAGAGAAATATTTTCCTCCCGAACCTCTAAAATGTTCCTTTTCGCGAAGTCGCAGAATCTTCGCATGATGGACGCCCTTTGTTCCCAAGCCGAATGGGTCCATATACCCTTGGCGGTGCGGTTCGCCTCGGGTGCCAGCGCTGTGACGTATGGGTTGTCTGACGGTGCCGCAATTTTTGTAATCTCATTTTCCGAGGTTTTTAATGGCGGAAGAACCTGTGCCCAGAGATCCCTCCCAAGTGGGGGCCGCCCGTGGGGCCCGGCCTGAAGGGATGATGTGCTGGCCCCCTCCTGTGGCGAACTGCCCTTTTCCCGGCCACCCGGCACCACCCGAGCCGCTTGGCAAAGATTCCAATACTTTCCGGGCCCCGAAGCCCATTACTTCCGGGGTCAAAAATCGTTTTTTTGGTTTAAACGGCGTCTTTTTTAATAGCGCATAGCATGTTGTGCTGTGGTTTCCTGCGCGGTCGCATAGAAAACAACGCGCATAACTTGGAGGAGGGGCGGAATGTTTTTTTCGCTTTTGGACCGTTTAAAAAACCGGGTTCTCCTCTCTTCTGGGATTGCCGATGGCGTTGGAAAGAGTTTGGATGTTGACTCCGGATTTTTCTTTTGCCGCCCGAGCTACCCGAAGCTGATAATATAAACGTCTTCCCAATTGCGCCTGTCTGGCCGAAATGCCCTCGTGGCGGATAGCATAAATTCATGCCACAACATTGCCCCACACCGGACCAAAATCAAATCCAGGTTTCATGTGCAATGGAAAAAGGCCACGGTAGGCCGCCAGCGGCTGTTCTGGCGAAGCCCCCAATAAATACCCCAAGGCCCCTTAAAAAGCCCAGATGTTTTTTTCAGGGTGGAAGCCCTTTTCCACGAACTTATTTCTCAGCTCTAGAATTCTTCGCAACTCCACCTGGGGTCGAGCCCCCAACGCATTAAATGGGCGTTCAGCATGCCCGCCCATCGCGGCATAATGCGTCACGGTGTGAACAGCAGGTGGAAGATAATCGTTTCCATCTTCTCTTGCCGCCCGCTGCGCCGGCTTTCTCGTTTTTTTTCCTTTTGAGCATACCACACCTGCATCTGTTTGTTTTCATCGCGCAGCTGGTTTTCTGCGATTCCAACGTGTTAATCGGATGCTGCATTTGACTAATGTGATCGTGTGATTCCGCGGTTTGAGCAGAGGTGTTCTATTGGATCTTTAATTTTTCTTAAGCCCGCTCTGCCCTGGCCCTTTCATACTGCTTATGCAATATGGGCTTGCTTTCTTTCAGTGCCATCCACTCAGTTCGTAAAGTCGCCCGTGCATCGTTAAATGCCTTGAGGAAGTTCCCGTTCTTTGGCATGTTAAACGGCGCCATGGGGCGTCGCATAGAAACGAAACAGGTCTTTGTTCCATTCCTCAGCCAAATGGTAAGGTCACTGTTTTTAATTGTTAAGGCGCCCCCAACGCGATTGACCGGCGTACTAAATTTGGTCGGTGCTCAAAAGAAAAGGGGGTCCGACCGCAATATCGACAAACGCCCTGAGACCTGACAGGCCCGTCATCCATTCCACGCCCATGGGGGTCTGCCGGGGGTTGCTGGACAACATTGCTTGCTTGAGCCTTGCCTTTTGTTTCAAAAACCCACACTTTGCGATGCTTTCCTATAGCAAGGGATGAAGAGCAGAATGGTGATGGATTATGGGATCTTCTATTGCCGAGTTGGGTAAGGCCTGACCATTCCTTTCACAGGCTTCCCCAGAAAAGAAGAAAACCCCATTCCATTAGAAAGCGTATTTGCCATTACCCCGCTGGCACGAGCCAAACCCTTTCGAAAGGAGGGTTGCGCCAAATCTGCCTCAAAGATGCGAGGGCATTTGGCCCTCACCGAATCACCACCAGCCCCCGGGCTTTGCACACGACGCGCCCCCGGCGCCTCGCAGAGTTAAATTCTTTCCGGGCCTTGCCAATGACCCCCGGCCCGATTTATTGCCGGCATCTGCTAGTGCTGCTTCTGGCGTTGGGGCGTTGTGTTGTTTGGGTCCTGCATTTGTTAATAAAATGTTGGCGGCGCGGTTTGGCACCGCCGCCCCGTTTTTTAGGCATACCCCGGGGAACTTTTGGCGCACATGGGGCGCATTATTGAATCAGAGCGGCCCTGGCTTATTGCCAGGGGCGGTTGCCCCAAATGCGAAACAATAACGAATTTACCTGAGGAGTGGCCGGCATATCTGGAGATTGGGGTAGGGCACGTCCGTTTTATGCGGAAGCCCGGGGTCTACAGACAGTTTGGCGCCAAAAAGCTCAATTTTTACCCAGTTGGCATGCTAATGCAAAATTGTTGACACAGCACTTACGAATGCCCTTCTTATATTCTATTGCACTTAGTTTCTGCAAAGCCACGTCCGTCAAATGGACGCTGCTACGTTGGCCATTCGCAACCGCGAAGTCCAATGCGGCGGCTTGGCTCTGAAGAGACCGAGCGCCTGAGTGGGCAAGTGTGTCAAAGGAAAAGCCATTAACACCAGCTTTTTTGAGCGTGTAACAAAAAAGTCCAAGCTTTACCCATTGTTGTATAAAACGGGAATAAAACATTTCGTGTTGGGTTAACATTTTACCTAAATATGTATGATGATTCTCATTTTGTTTCTTTTCCTTCAATAAACAAAGTGTCGCAAAGTGTAACTTCTGAAAACCCACGTAAGTCATAAATAAGATATTACAACGTTTACCGCAACCCAGTAATTTTTCTTGAAGGTTTAAGAGATAACGGGTCTTACGGGGTCCAGGGCCGTCTTAAATATCTTGTTTAGGCGCCATTTTCCCTTGCTCATAGACCGCATTTTAGTACGCAGGTATATAATACTGACGATGAACTGGCTATCAAAAACAATGAACTCATCGTTCATCCCGACCAAAGCAAGAAAGCGAATTTCGCTAATTTGCGACATCTTTTAGTGACTTTTTGACCATGCCAAAGGTTGAGGATTTTCCCAAAGTGTTTGACGAAGCAGGAGCGCCTTTTCGAATGGAATAGATAACCTTCTCAGTAAGTAAATTTATTCTATACCAGCAGTGGGTGATTACAGAAAAACAACTTGCAGAAATACTTTTGAATACCCGACAGAACACCTAGGATCAACCCTTGGGACTGCAAGATTGCATGAATCAAATGCAAAGTCGAACAGCCTAAACGGACCATCAAAACGGCTAGTTTTAGAATAAAAAGCACCAAACGCAGACGTAACTCACGCAAAGAGGTGCCGAAACACAGCAGTGGAAACAGGTGGAAAATTAAAGTGAATAACTCGTACAGCAGAACGGATCACTGGTTAAAAACCACCCTCCGACACAACCTTCATATCACGCTCAAAACTAATAAAATGCCTATGCATAAACACGAGAAAACATATAATAACATTATTAGGCAATGAGAAAATATAGAAATGCGCCAGAAGAGCAACCCCAGGCATGAATGCGAACATTTCAAAAACCTAGGAATCAATTCGTTAGAGAGGGGATTTGGCCAAAAATAATCGGAAAATTTAAGGGTGCAGTAGGGCACTTGTTGGTGGCTTATTGTCGTGCATTTCCGTTGCCTATAAAACGAGACTTTGGTCAAAGAGATTAAGGAAAAAAAAATTGCCATTTTAACATACGCCACTTGCAATGGAAACACAGCCACCACATTTATGAAGCTGGATGGAAAACTGTATTTTCACCCTCACGAAGTGGGCAGCCAACTAGGGTTTAAAAAATTTTTTTCGTCTTCCTCGTGCAGTTTTACGACCTCTTGCCGCTTCCCGGAGGAGGAAGGAGGAAATGCATTTGCGCACATCTGCTTTGTTAGGGCAAATTGTGCGGGACTCGGTGGCGGAGCAGCCCACCCATACCCACTAAAGCCCCCCTGATCATGGAGATCTTTCCACCCACGAGCGCGGGCGACACCAGCAGCACGGTGTCCCAAGGAGCGGTCTCCGGTTAGGCCCTCCGCTTGATCCCTGGAGAGCCATGCCGCGTTCTATCCGGTCCATTACGCAGTTCCCGGGAGAACTATAGCGTATGGCATTGGATTCCCCAGTCCGGGAAACCGGGTACTACACCGTGAAACTTATTGATTGGAAGCGTGTATTTTCCCTGCAGTCTCTCCGTTCAGGTGCTTTACCCATTGCAAAACACGCCTTGTTTGTAAGGTGCTTAACTATGCTAACCCAATGTGTAGCGACCGTATCGCGGTGCAGCCTGAACTAAGCCGGATTCGGTGCTGCAATCGTGGGATTCTAGCTTCCCAAGTAATGGACTTGGTGCCAGACTTTGGCGCCACGATGGGGCATTTCCACGATACCAAGGGGAACTTCATATTGAGGTATAATTCCGGATTTGGTTTATTTAATCCGCTTCAACGCAAATACCCAGGCAAAAAAATAGGATTTCACGGAGGCAGGGGACCATAAAAGAAACGCAAAAAAATATTACATCGCGAGTTTCGGCGTCCGCACTGTCCTTTATCCTTCGTGGCTGTGAAAAAAAAATCAGATGTCCATATTGCCCAGTTCGACGACAAGACCGCGCAGAATAAGGCCATTAACAACCGGCCCGGCACAGCTTATCTGAAAACCCCGGAACACCTACTCGCCCGCCCGCCCCATGGGGCAGCCGCGTTCAGTTCAACTGGAAAGGGGCGGCATACATGATTCGTATTTTATCACAAAATTGGCCCGGCTTATCTGTTATGCGTTTGGCCTTCCGCGCCACGACCCGCCGCGCCCTGGCCGTGACGTTTGGGGTTCTGCAGTCGTTGCGGGGAAACCGCCCTATGTGCACACCATTCTTTTATTTCGCCACCCTTCTCCATCTTCCACCAAACATTAGCGACCAGCAAAATGCGGTGGGAAAGCCCCCTGGAAGAGGAACCGTTGCCTTCTACAGATCCGGCGGTAAATAAAGTTTCGCCAGGGCGCTTGGATGTCCCTTCTGTGGGCTGAAGCTCTGGAAGGGTGTCAAAAGGGACCCAAATTGCACTAACATTTGATAAATTCCCGCGTGCAGGAATGGGGCGGTTACGTTGAAAACAAAAAACAACAACCCCAACTCAACAGCGGCCTTATCGTTGGGAGAAATGGCCCTTCCTAAAACATTCAAAATGGGCCCGCGAGGGGAAGGGGGATATGCGATAACCAGCGGGAAGTTGCAAGGAGGGTGCGGGCCGCCATCGAGGGCATCGTGGGGGGTGGGGGTGGGGGAACCAACCAATGCAACAAGAGGGGTTGCGGAAGACATCCCCACCCTGCGGAATGACGGCGCGCCCAATAAGAAACGGCGCGCTGGCCCATCCAGCCGTAGCAGCTGTCAAACGCGATCCCGGCACTGGAATGCTTGTTCGGTTGGAAAAACGTGCCAGCCCTCTGGAATTCTAACGCTGCGCCGCGCGCTTCTTGGGGTGCTGGGCCGGTCTGGAAAACAGGTCTGCTGGGTTGGCGCCGCGCATGTGGGTGATATTAAAAAATGCGCTTCGCTTCCATGGGTCGTTGCAAAACGTCGCGGCCGAAGGGGCACGGCCTATTTTTCAGAGGCACATGATTCTGCGACGCGCCCGTCGCACAAGAGAAGCCCCCCAAGAGGGCGAAAAATGTTTGACATTGCAACGGGTGGGCGTCGACACGTTGCCCCTGGGCTGTTTCAGGGGTCGGGTCAATTTAATGGCCCTGGGCCGTTTCAATGGGATATGGGAAATCATGCGCCAGCCCGAAATATTGAGGAAAGGGAAACGGGCCCCCCTCTTTTTACATCGGCCAAGGAAAGCTGAGATAATGAAAAATGCAATTATTATACAAAAAGCGCCGGCACAACCCACATCGGGTTTGACAGTGCCTTTTGCAGTTGTCGGGGAAAAGCCAACAGGACCGAGGTGGCGCTTCGTAACCCTGCCAAATGGAAATATGAACGTGGGGGCTGCGAAGCCTTGGGCCCCCTTGGGCATGGCTCGCGTTGCTTTGGCCCGGCGTTTGAAGAGCTGACCCCCCAATTTTGGTCCGAAGGCATTGTTCCCCCGAGCGGGTTTGCTAACAGGGGCGCGCGCGGGTTTGCGGTGCTGCGCCGGAAAAAGGGGGCTTGTACAGCCCGCCCGGCCCTCTTTGAGACGCGGCCGGGGCCCAGAAAAGCCGCGTGGTGTCGCGGGGGCGCCGGCTGCGGGCCCCGGGGCTTTGCCACACGCCCCCTGCCCGAAAGGCCGGGGGGGGGGCATTGGCCGAACAGCTTGTTGAACAACACCCCCGCCAACCCCCCAAGAGATTTTTGCCGACTTCAGGGGCGTGGGTTGCAGACGCCCCCGGGCACGGATGGGGGGTGTTTTCGTTTAATGGCAGCCGGGGGCGCAGGGGAACGGGTCCCGCGCATAGTTCCGCAGGTCGAAGCCGGGGCCGTCGTGTTGGCTTTTTGGGAATTCGCCCACCGCACTGCACGCGCACACCGCCACCGCGGCGGCATTTTACATCATGGATAAAAGCGGCTCGCGCTCAGATGCGTCAGTGCGCGCGGCCGGGCGCATCGACGCTTTTTGCGAAAGCGAGGCCTACGTGCCCGCCTGGGGCTGCGCGGCTTCGGGAAACAATCCCGTGGACCCGATTTCAAGCGGAGCCAAGGTTCCATACGCACGGGCATGGCGAAGGGGGTCGCGGAAGGCTTCTCTAAAGATGCTTTCGGCACCTCCAAGCTTCCCTTTGCCAATGTTGAATCTATCCGTGGGCCTGCCTTTGTGGGGCTGTTGGTTTTGGCAAAAAAGCCCGGCGCAGAGAAGCCGGGCAAAATATAAGACACATTCCTTTTTCATTTATTTAGGGGAAATGGGGCCCGCAGCGTTTTGTCTCAAGGCAGGGGCTGCGAAGGCCCATGGGGGTGCCCGGGGCCCGGCGCCTTCGATGCGATTCCGAAGCGCCACCGCTGCCACAAGCGGCAAAACAGGCAGGGCAATCGCACGCGCGCGCGCGCGAGCAGGCAGGCCGGTTTCCGTGCGGAACGGGCCTTGGTCCCCCAGGCTGGGCCGAACCGTGCCGACTGACGGGGCCTGCGGGGGTGTGAAAAAGCCCTTGCTGGATGGAGGGCCGGGGCCTCTCGAATACGCGGTGGGGGGGTTTTCCCTTTTCCCGGGCGCATCCTACTCTGGTTTTCTACGGGGAAAGGCTTTGGGGAGAGGGAAAAATAGGCCCATGGAAATTCCCACATGCTTTGATGGCGAAGTGTTGTTATAGTTTTGGCGTTCGGAAGAAGGGAAGGGAACTAAGCAAAGGCGTTTTTTTTTTTTCCTGGAGGCAGCTGCGGCCCACACCGCACCTGGCGCAGCAGTGCTCCAAGAAAAGCGTCGAGACACATAGAAGAGAAAAGCAGCGGCTGCAGCCACCGGGCTCGGAGGCGAAGGCCCACCCACAAGTACGCCGCAGCGCGTGCAGAAAAAAAAATCATCTTTATGCACAGGGGCGCCAAACGGCAACGGAAAGCAAGAAAAAAGAAATGGGAAGGGGCCGGGTGGGTTACCTACCTGTTGCCGGTAACGACGTGCCTGCCCTACCTCTCTTCCGCCTTTGTGGTCATTGCCAAAAGTGACCTCTTTCCCACACTTTTTTTTCCTCCGCCAATTTCAAGCAAATGGATCGAACTCCGCAACAAAAGTCTGCGCTTCCTGTTCTGACGTAGTGGCATTGGAACCGTTGGCCTGTAGCGCTGCGAAAAGGTCGTTGTTTCTCGCTGCGATGGGGGCGCCTTCGTTGATATTGTCGCCGCGCTCTATCTTTTCGCCCGACAGTTGACTAACCCTAAAATAGTCAAAGGGGCTCGGTGCAAAACCCTGCCGCGGCTGCATGCCGAGGTGCGGCGCGTCGTCGCTGGAGCCTGCAGGGGGGCCTTCCGCAAAGAAAGAAGCCGTAGGTGTGTTCCACGAGAGTGGCTCAGCCATACTGGTTCCCTCTGGAAGGGCCATCGGGACGTCATTTCGATCCCCCAGTGGGGTGAGGGCCGTTGTACGGCTTATTTCCAAAACCCGCTTGCTTGTATCCAGTTTGGGGTTCTCTGTTTCGCCAAAAATAGGTTCTCGGCGTGGGGCATCGCCTCCACCCACGTCGTCCCTTTCACTGTTTGCACAAAACTTTGAAGAATCGGCGGCGGCATCGTAAGTTGCGATTGTTGGCGCCCGCGGAGGTTCAAACAAAGAGCAGCCCTGTCCCATGTCTTTCGAAACGTCCACTTCCCCAAGATGCTCATAAGGCGATTCGGCTCCCTTGTCGTTGGTGCCGTTGCGTTTGCAGGGCGCATCTTTCAGTCGTATAAGGATAGCATCTAGTTTGTTCACAACGTGCTCGCACTCTTCGCTGGATTGTGCGGCGATGTCAGTCGCAGAAACGGTGCGCAAAAGCGCCACCTGTGCCTCCACCACCTCGCTGTACGCCTGGCACACGCACTGCAGCGGCCCCCAAGGGTCTCTCGCAGAAGCCACCTCAAGGGAGGAAGAAGAGGTGTCCTGTGCCTTCCACGATGTGACAGAGGCCTCTGTGTCTTCTTCTTCTGCTTCCTTCCGCCGTTTTTCCACTTCCTGCATAGAGGCCATGGCTTCTTGCAGCTGCGCCGCCTTGGCCAAGAGTTCTCGCTCCCGCTTTTCCAAAGTTGATGCAGAGTCTCTCATTTCCAAGAGGGCATTTTCAAGGCGAGCCACTTCGCGTACAGCCGCTACGGCCCGTGCTGTGACTTCTTCAGCTGCTGTAGTAATGGACATGCGACTCCACAACAATGCGCTAATAACCTTCTCCGCTTCTTCACATACAATGCCTAACCTTTCGTTTTCCTCTTCCACTTGAATTAGCTGCCACACCTTTACTGCCACGTCCATGTCAAAAGACGACTCCTTTAACTGGTACGTCTGCTCCGTGTCGGATAGAGTGCCCTCTTCTCCTGCGTTGTGGCTATCGTTATTGGCACCGACGTCTGAATGATCTCCTCCTTCTCCACCGTACTTTAGTGAAGCATTGCTTGCCGAGACAAAGGGGTGCCCCACAAGCTCCTCCAGCAGTGCCTCTTCCACACTTGTATCATCATCGACCACTGAATTTCTTTCCTCACGTAACCCCCTCGTTGCGTTGTCGGCTCCAACAGCCGCTTCCCCTGCCAATTGCTGAGGTTTCCCACTGGCTGATGACATCGCTTCAGAAAACCCAACATTGCTGTATTCACACGGCATATATGCCACTACAGGCGAGGTGGCTGCATCCGACACAGGTCGGGGCTCAACAGTTTTTTGTACCTCCGCCTCGCCATGCACATCGGTTGATGCAGCGAGTTTCTTTTTGAGACGTTGGATCTCACGACGCTGCTCCTCAAGATTGGCGTTCATATCTGTAAAGAGCTCAGCCCGTGCACGCTCCATCTCATCAAAGCTCCGTTGTCGGTCTGCTTCGTACGCTTGCATCTCCTCAATGTGTTTCCGGTACAATTCAAGACGCTCCCATAGCTCCTTTTCTTGTTTGGATGCATTCCAAAGGCGTATTTCGGGTAATGCTTCCAAGTCAAGTAGACTCCTTATAGGTGTAACACGGTTTGGTGATGCGTGGGCATCGGCGAGAGGGCTCCTACTCCACGTCCTGGTGGGGCGGCCAGGCATCAACTTGCCACCAGAAGTTGAAGCTTTGGTCCCCTTGTACTGAATAGGCATGACCAACTGCGCCAGTGTGCGGGTTGGTGTGGGTTCATCTCCTAATGGAGTGGAGGAGACGCGCGCACGTGGGGAGGGCTCCGGGGTCTCTGACAAAGCAGCCACCTCCTCCATTTTCCAACGCTCTGCTGCCACCAGTTCTAACTCAAGGCGTGAGAGCTCCTCGCGTAGGGCTTGGAGCTCATTTATGAGGTTGAGCTGCTCGTGTTTTTGGTGGCGCAGCATCCGCTGGAGATTGTCCCGCTCAGTTTCCAGGACCCCGATACGTTCATGCAGAGAGGTGGCGTCAATCGGTGTTCCTATGTTCGACTCCTCGTCAGGGAGCACGTGCTTCGCCACCTCCCGAAGCCGTTCTTCCTCGTCATGATGGGAAACAATGGCTGTGTAAAATGTGTTTACCTCCGTTAATTCACGAACCTTCATTTCAAGCTTTGCCATCTCCTCGTTCTTCCGTGCGATGATCGCCGCCGCACTTGTGGCGTTCTCACCTCCCGCTTCTCCCAGTGGGGTCTCCGCGAAAGCCTGTCCCACACCAGTTGAACTCTTTATGGGCAACGAAAATGCTCTGCCTGCAGCTGCTGTTTTTTGATTAGGGTTCGACGTTGTGGCTTTGGTGGTGACCGCCCGCGCCACCACGACGCCATCGTCCTGAGCCGTGTTCGATCCACCCGCAGTAAATTCCTCCAGCTGCTTGATCAAAACGCTAATGGTTTCTTCATCACTCGCAGACTTCTCTGACAGCATCGCGCCCTGGTGTGTTAAAGCCTTCACCGTGTTGTCCTTCTCAAGCAGCTCCTTCTTCAACTGGGCCACCTCTTGCTTGAGTTCTTTAGCACACTCGTACCCCGCCTGATTAGGGCGAAGCTGCTGCCGCAGCTGTTTGACCATCTCAATGAGCTCCTCGCGGCTCGCCTGATTGATATTGACGCGACTCATCCGTCGCCTTCACCGTATACCTTTCCCGATACTATGAAAGACACTGCAACTCGTATGTCACTTCTTATGTCCTTTCTGCTTGAAAACACAAGATGTATGTAAGGTGTGAGAAAGCATGTGCATTTATTAAAGACATTTATACGTGCAAAAGCCAATTACAGTTACTGAAAAGCATACCAGACACCGAGAATAATCATAATAACAGCAAAAACAACAACACCACCCGGTAATAGACAGATAGAAAAAAAAAAAACACTACTGACTTCCCAGTAAAGCCCCCAAAATTTATCACTGTCTTGTTCCCTTCGCTTTTTTTTTCTCTTTTCACACGCGCTAGCACATTCTGTTTTTGCTCTACTTGTACGTTAGTTGCACGACATAATGGGAAATGAGGCATCAAAGGCCATTCCACATTCTCCGCATACCCATGCTACCGACGGATCACCCTCGCAAGCAGTACCCTTCTGCATATCAACATCCCAGCCGCACTCAGCGTTCTCCGTGCGCAGCAGCCGAATATATCCATTTTCGCCCCAATCCGGTGACCATGAATTACGGATGATCCAGTAGTCCGCCTTCAGCCCCTCATCTCGGCCGTAACCAACGAGCTGCACCACATGGTTGATGGTGATGTTCTTGCCGTAGTCACACCCATTGAAGATTCCCCCAGAATAGCTTCTCCAGTAAGATGCATCAACGTTGACTGACAACGGACCGTGGTTGGCAAGAGCTTCCATGACGGCTTCCTGATCGTTGGATGGGATCTTCACATAACTGTCCGCCCGGGCGAAAGCCGACACACTTTTATTTGGCAGGCACTGACCAGTTTCACCACCGTACGATGTGTAGGGATATACCCACTCCGTTGTGAGACCATCCATGGCGTACTCATAGGCAAGATCTGCTGTGGAGCCCTTACAGCCGCCTGTACCGCCGCATTTCTGATGATTAGGTGTGCACGACGTCAGCTGCTGCTGGCTCAATACATGCAGCTTTCCACTGACGATGGCGTAGTGGGACTCCATGTTCTCAACTGCGCCATGAGCCCAGCAGCTGCCGCACCCGCCCTGGTCTTTCACAGCTGTCAAGATAGGGGGAACAGATTTGCGGTAGTCCACCGCATTGGGGAGCACCTGGCCACTCTTGCGGTAGGTGCGCCGTAGTTCAGGGCGGGCGAGGTGGCGCATCATGCGCGGCTTCGCACCGTTTAGGCGTGCGAACTCCTCGGGCGCCCAATCCGACATGTGATTGATGCCCATCACGTACAGCTTGTTTCCGGCCGCGTTGTGGGCGCGCACACTGGCCAGTGTCTGCCCGAAAAAGGCTTTGCGGTGTACGTATTCCTGCCCCTCATAACTTTTTCCGAAGTCGCGAAGATATTGCTCAAAGGTGTACCCATTGAGCCTGTGCCGCCGTGGCCCCTTCATGGTGGCGGTCAGCGCAGCAGATGCGGTAAGCGCCGCGAGAGCTACAATGACGGCAAGGGAAAACAATCGGGACATGACTATGCAGCACCCCGTGTTTTATGCTTTCTGCTTATCTGATGGCTCAAGTTTTTCTTTGTCACTTCTTTATGTGAAGTCTAGCGATGGGAAGAAAATACAAAGCAAAAACGAAGAGAGAATAGCTGTAGTGGGCATAAAGACACTAGACATCGCATCCCTTGATGCCTCGTATCGCCTCTGGCCCAGGTGCTGTATGTAAATGGAAAATCATTTGATACTTGGTATTACCACTGTACACCTTGCGGCGCTTCAACACAGTTAAGAAAACAAGAACTCGTCTCGCCTCCGTGCCGCTAGTTGAGAACTGCTCTTCTTTTCCCAATTCAACCAGAGAAGTGGACCGGAAGAAAAAAAAAAAAAAAAANAGAGAGAGAGAGAGAGAGAGAGAGAGGAGGGGGAAAGAAACAGCAGAACAGCCGCAATAAACTACAACAGGTGAAACTCTATGCATAGGGCTGTAGGAGTGCAAGATTTGCGAGCAGTTGATCTAATTGCAAGCGGAATTCTTGTATTTGCTGGTTCTTTTGCTCAAGCATCATCTCGGCTTTCTGTGTCGCCAGTGCGAGTTCAAAGTCAGCAATGCGTTTGACCTCTACAATCTCGTGTGCGGATTCCCGTTCCTTCTGCACCTGACGCCGTTCAAGATATGCCAGTCGTTCGGCAACACTCTGCAGGAAGGCACGACTATGCCGCGGCCCGTCAAGAGGGCCTTGGGCAAGTTTTTGCAGAGCCAACGAGGCTTCTTCTTCTGCCCGTTGCTGTTCTGCGACGGACTTCATTTCGCGCTGGTGATGCTCTTGTATCCGCGAAATATCGTCGTTGTGCTCCTGCCGCATGCGCTGCATCTGTGACTGACACTCCTGTCTCACCGTTAGCAGGCGCTCCTCCCAACGGGCATGTGCATCGCGCAGGGATTCTTGATTCTCCATCAGCAACCGCTTATACACTGCCAGCTCCGCTATGAGTGTGCTGATTTGCGCCTGCATGCTTGAGATGACACCCGTTGAGGCAGCGCCAACCTCAACGCCATGGGACATTATTGGCACAACAACACCTTTTACCGCCTCAGATGTAGTTTGCGATAACTGACCTCGCAGTGCTTCATTCTCTTGGCGGAGGAGGGCAATGACTTCGTCCGCATGGTTGCCTACCCCCGTTGGCGTTGCTGTCACCACCGCCTTAGGCTCTCGTTGTGCGGATGATGCATCTACACCCTTTTCGTGCACATATCCAGAGGTAGCAGCAGTTGCTTCTACAGCTGCCTCCACTTCAACAGGCACCGATGGAGGTGCCTTCTCCTTGCTCCTTTCCCGCAGGGCCTGTCGCGCCTCGGCCAGGTGTTTTTCTAATTCACGCACCCGCCGTGTTTGTGCGTGCAGCAACCGAAGCTTGAGATCCTCTTCCAGCTTGTCAATGCGTTCTTGGTATTGGATCTTCATGCGGTCCGTTTCCACCCGCAGGCGTGTGACGGCGGCTTCAGCACAACGATCCTTCTCCACAAGGGCCTCCTCCAGCTCCTTGATTCGGAGGTTGAGTTGCTTGAACTGCTTCGAGTCCTGCACCGACGGTTGACAGCTGCGAATGAGCTGAGCAATACTGTCCGGGTGTTTGCTGTTGAGTGCCTCTTCAAGTTCAACCACACGCTTGGTGAGGTAGCGTACGCGTGCGTCTTTCCCCACGCGTGGGTGCTTGCCCTCGCCGTCCATCGCACCCACCTCGTGGAGCCGTGTGCGCAAGCGGCGGATAGTGTCCTGCTGCTGCTTCAGCAGCTCCTCTTGTGCGTGGTTGAACTCCTGGTGTTCAACATACCATGCAATCTTCCGTGCCATATCCTTCACAGTATCTTGGCACTCCGTCTCCTTGTGTTTCAAATCGACACGAAGGTTGCGCACCTCTAATTCCATTTCCTCAATTTTTTTCGTGTCGAGGCTCGAAAGGCGTGCTTCTACGTCTTTCTTTTCGCGGCGAATCAGCTCTAGTTCCAGCTGCAGCTCCCGTACGACTGTCCGCTGTCGCTCCAACTCCACGTGTATCTCATCTTGGCTGAACTGCTGTTGCTGTTGCACTGGAGTTGGCGTAGCTGCAGGTGGTGGATTGGGGCTCTGACCGCTCGTCAGCAGGCTGTACTTAGCCTCCATATTCACCGCACGCTTCTCCAGTTCCGCCAGCTTTGCACGAAGCACGCGCCGCTCCGTATGCAGGTTGACATTATCTTCCTCCAATGCCTTGACAACTCGCTCCTGCATCAATAACTCCCGCCGGACTCCCTCCAACTCCTCTTTCGTGACAAGCTCACCCGCGCGCACGGCGTCCCACGCCGCACTGCAGTGTTCTCCCTGCTCGCCGCGTTGGCCCTCACTTCCCAGAGGTCCTGAGAAAGCACCATCGCGACTTGTTTCTACACGACTGACCTCCACCACACGTACTGCGCTCGTCCTGCTACTCGCCGCATCTTCCTCCTGTTGTTGTTTTAACAAATGTGGGACATCCCCTTCCACATCATCATAATTATCCTCCATGACACCCCGCCCACGTTGCTCACTGCTTTTTGTGCTGCAGTCCCCACGGCACACGTCAGCGTCGTCTCCTTCCCGCTTCGAGGTGAGGAGCGCCATGAGCTCCGCGGAGCTTCTCCCTTCTAGTGAGGTGGTGAATTGCGCCTTCGCTCGGTGCTCGTCGCGGGCCAGGTATTGCCGCGCATCCTCCACAGGATCTTCCGCCATTGCATGAATGGAACCCTCCACGCGGGTCGAATGCAACACTCTTTTACGACAGAGCAACCTCAACTGGAAGAAAGAAACGAAAAGAGATGGAAAAGCATATTTATTGTTTATCAGTCTACAGGAAAGCCAAACACACACAAGCACCCAAATGGAGACGAAATCGAAGAAAGAGTTGTCCCACAAACAACAACAACAAAAAAAAAGAGCTCCGGGTGATTGGAACGGACTCCCTTGCTTCGGCTTAGGGAGAGGTGTGTGTGTGTGTGTGNGGGGGGGGGGTTGATGCAAGTCGACGAACACTCAATACCGCCGACTGAGTATCTCCTGCAAGCGATGGTTTATGTGTGCGATAGTGGATGTGGTCTCCGTGACCTCATTCCCACTCAATGAGGTCGGCTGCTGTGGGAAGGGTATTGAAGCATCTTCATGCGGCGACATCGACGATGCGGCACCGGCTGTGGGTGGAAAATTTCCCAACTCGGTGCCAGGGGTGTAAACGACGGTTGTAGTCGGGGGCACAAAGGGGTGATCCGGTTGAGTTTGGTCTATACTTTGACTAGCCATGCTGACAGGGCGCGCCTCTACAGGCAGGTGCACAGACGACGTTCCCCGAAACTCCTGCACGTCGGTGTGCGGGGCCTCATAATAGTAATGATCAGACGCCGAGATCGCAGGGCCTGCAGGACGCAACGGAAGCTGTGCTGACACAGAGGAGGATGTGTGCCGCACGCATCCGTTCTCTGCAGCATCGCCGTCGTGGGGGTAGGTGTTGTTGATCTCCCCGCTCGCGCCCAACATTCCTGTCATCGTAGCGCCTTGGCGACGCTCTCGTCGTGCCTTTTCCATGAGACTCACGTCGCGCAGAGCCAACAACTCACGGAGGTTTTCCTCTTCGGCTCCGTCACGCGGCTGCTGCGGACGAGCAAGTAGCACCGCTGGTGCCAACGTTACCGCATCAGGTAGTAACGAGCGAAGGTACTCTAGCTGTCTAGAAGCCTCAGAGTCCTGCTGTCGCAACGCCAGAATAATCCTGTTCAGCTCTGCGAGCTCATTACGGGAGCGCATACAATTCACTCTCAAGTTTTCAACATTTTCTTCAATTTTCTTTTTCTTATCAAGAAGCATTGCCTTTCGACTTGCCTCGGATTCAAACTGGGTCATCAGTATTTCTACCTTCCCTCTTGCCTCACGCAAGGACGCATAGAATGGCTCCGTTTCCTTTTCAAAGAGCGCTTTGGCCTCCTCAGCGCGTTCCTTTTCCTCTTGCATCTCTTGGACCCCTTGCTTTTTAGCATCGACCTCTTGAATGTGCTTCTGTTTCACGGCGTGGCTTGTCTCTATCTGCTCTTGAAGTTCGGCCTTTTCCGTCTTCAACGTCATGAGTCTATGTTGCACTTGGCTGACAGTCTCACGAGCACGTTCAAGTGCAATTATTTTCGACTTAGCGTCTCCCACAGCTTCTCTCTCCGCTTCCTGAGCTGCTCGAGTGGAAGTAGAAGTCTCTTCAAATGACTTCTTCAATACAGCAAGCTCCGTGGATGCCTTTTCAACAGCTGCCTTCATTGCCGTGAGACGCTCGGTGCCGTCTGGGGAGTTATCCAGTTCCATGAGTTGCTCCTGAAGCTCGTCCCGTGACCTTTCTTTAGTGCTGTTTGCGGTCTGGAGCTGGTGTACAACCACCTCAGCAGTTTCAATAGCCCGCTCGACGTCTTTCAACAGATCCCTTTGTTTTGCGAGCTGTGATCTTGCAGCTTCATGCGCCTTTTCAAAGTGCTTCCGGTTGTTCAAGCGGAGCTCCTCCTTCCTTCTTAACGACACAGTCGTCGCCGCAATGCACTCCAATATAGATGTCGCCATGCGAGTTGTCTCGACGTAATGTGGTGCCATCCTCTCCTCTGTTGACGTGAATCGGATCTGCTCTTCGTCAGATACCGCAAGCGTACCCTTAAGATGAATCTCTTCAGAAGCCATTTTCAGGTTTTCTTTCAACCTGTTGTTGTGCTTTTCACTTTCACTAAAAATATGCTGAAAACACTGAGCGGCTTTCCTCAGCCCTGGGAGGTGCTTCTTCCGTTTTCCATCGTGAAGCGAGATAAAAGATGTAATACGGGCCAACGCCGTCCCCGTTAACTCTTCATTTCTCTGCGATACTCGAAGGGCCTCACGAGCCGCCTCAATCTTGTCGTGAAATCCGTGAACACCATTCACACATTTCCCTCTGGGTGCACTTGAGGTGGAACTGGCCGATGCCAGAGGTCGGGAGGCGGCATTAAGATTGTCGCTGACCCGCCGTATCAGTGTTGCCTCAGCATTGGCGTATTCCTTGTTTCGCATTTCGAGTGATTCTGCCAGTCTATTTGCTTGTTGTTCATACAACTGCAACTCTGCAAGCCAGTGCGCGGTATCTTCATTCTTCTCTTCATTCAAGATCATTAAGTCTCTGTCTCGGTAGCAGAATACCCCTCCACCACCAAGGTGCCAACACCAAAAAGAAATGGATAAAACAATACAGCCCATTTTCAGCTGCAGACATACAAACACACGCGCCTCTTTTCTGGAGGGCCACATACTAGCAGAGAATAACAACAAATGGGTGGAATATTACGAAGTTACTGAAGACGTTTTGAAATCATCTGCTGAAGCTCGCCTGCGGTCGGATCCGCATTTGGTAAGTGACGTTGACGATCATCAACGGACGCCTTAACCTTGTGCAAAAACTCTGCGACGGCAGAACCAGTTGCTGCATCAGGCCGCCAAGCCACTATGAGCGAAATGGGTTTCACTAGCTCTACCAGTGAGGATTCACTGATTAATTTACTCTCCCCAATGTGTTTTAACAGCACCGGCGCCGATTCTAAAGGAACAGATTCTACCAGTCCCCACAACTTATGTGTGTGAGGGAGCCGCTCTATCTTCAAACTCAAAGAGGACCACACAAGGGCAGTCAGCATTTCTGCTCGCGTCAGCCCAAGCGCAACCCGCTCGGCATCTCGTGTAAAGAAGTTTATCAAAGACAGCAACGCGACAGTCGGTAGTTTATCCAGGCAGCTTTTCTGCGCAAAATATGCCACGAACTGCGTTGCCATAGACCGTCGCTTTCCTGTTCGGACCAATCCATCAGCAATGGAACACACCACCAACATGTTGGTCCCGTTTTCCTTCTCCATCAAGGCTGACATGAATCTGTCAAATGCTTGACTGCTCGCACCAAATCGAATTGCAAATGCTACCGCAGTCATCAACGCATTATCGGCGGTCTGCGCCTTCTCCAGATGCCTCAAACAATAGCGCCACAGGCTTACCCCAAGTGGTGCTAATCTTTTTGAAGATATATTCCCTGTCTGAGAGACTCGTTGAACGGCATGAGCTATGACCATCGAGCAAACAACATTGTCGCATTGGTGAATGACGGGGAACACGGACCCTGTACCAAGCAACGCTCCTGCATTACTCAATGAGAAAGTTAGTCCGTCTTGCGAAAAGAGTGAAGCCACGAGTTGAAGGAATTTTGTATGGAATTCTGTATGGGTTCCTTCTTGAAATCTCGTCACTGGAATGCCATCACCGTCACTACCAATGATGACAGTGGCTGCAGCTGTAGCGACATTAAGCGAATATTCACACTTCATGTCTTCCATTCCTTGTCGGAGCATAACAGGAACCAGCTCTTGTGCAACCTGGAGTAACTCCTCCTTCACAACCTCAGAAGAAGAAGTCCACAACGCATGAACCAGAACTAATGAGGCTTTCCAATCCTCTTCTGTCCACTCCTTCGTCATGACCACTTCTGAACACCAAAACTGAACTACATTCAGCAGCTGTTTCAGTAGCCGCCTATCATCTACACCAAGTGCGCATAGGGCCCCAAAAAGATAACCTGCTGTGTGTGGAGACAGTGAATCTAGTGCGTTCTTCCGGTGAAGTGAACCAATGAGATGTGGATGGTCAACTGTATCCAAGCAATCAAGCTCATGTGCCACAACGATGTAAGTGGCCACATCCTTGACCTCTGTTTTTGTCAGGTCCCCCTCAAGCAGGCGTGAACCAACCCACGAAATAGAATCCACCAGCGCAGAACGAGCGACACCAGCTCTAGCTCCGTTAGTAATAAGGGATAGCATTAGGCGAAGGGAAGGCTCTGTCCCAATTCGGCGAAAAATAGATCCCAGCACCCTACGGTACGATTCTTCTTCGCTAATAGGCCGGTGACACTTAGAGAGCACCTTGATGATCGGCACACAATGCTCCACTCTGGCACTACCCAGACCCCTCCTCAAGCCTAGAGTTTCTAATAACTCGGGAACATCGTCTACGCATTGTTTTTTTTCTTCCAAGAAGCTCAACACTTTTTCACAGATAACAAGACTGATTTCATCAGCATCCCAATCCTCTTTGGAGGGCCCTCGTGACTTCTGCTTGTGTCTTGCGCCTTCGTTGACACTGTCATCTTCCAACAACGGGTTACCAACACCAAGTTCTTGGCCCCTATTCTGAACGGCACGCAAAATTGCACCATCTTTAACACGCAGCTTCACCACTGCATCTACAATGCGAAAGAAGTCCTCCCGTGACGCCCCAGAGAGAGCTCTTGGCAACTTTCTTAAACACCCCTCCATATACAGATTCTTGAAACGAGTTGAAAGGTTAGCATTAGCCAGCGCTTCAATGACTGCGATTATCTCCTTGATAGTGACTCTCTCGAGTCCGCGCAATGCGACGGATGGCACAACGGATGGACTTAGACGCGTGGTAAGAATATCCAATAAATCAACCCGTTCATCAAAAATAAACGAGTCCACCAATGGCGGCCGAACCTCTCCCTCAGAGCACGTATCAAGGTTTTTTGGGGTAGTGAACCACGCGTCCTTTCCATCGTACATAAGTATGCGTAGGAGGAGGTGAAGTAGTATCTGAGCATTTTTAAGCACCTTTGTGGCCCCAGAACAGGTAATCATCTCCAACACAACAGTAACCACACGACTATTTTGCATTTTCCCCCGTGCAGCACGTTCCACTAGAGAAAATACAACCACATCAAGTGTGGCAACGAGATGCTCATAGAAGCCTTCCGAGAATTGGTTAGGCACAAATCCGTCTGTGGCAATACCCACCAGCAATCCCTCTTCTTGCGTGGGAAGCACTAAGCTTCCCACGTTGGAAAGAGAAAAAAGTGGACACAAACTACAAAGCAGTAACAGAAGATCCCTGGGTTGAAAGTTTTTAACTTCTTCTCTCTGAATCCCTCTAGTAATAATCGCTTCAGAAGCTCTCAGGTACCGTGGTCGGACAGCTGAAATGGATGAGCAGAAAGCAGTAACGGCCCAAAAGAGGTAGACAATTTCGCTCAGACTAAGAAGCATATAATCCATCGATTCCACTCTTGTCAGCAATTCACTGAAAAGTGCATTCTGAACTTCAGTCGGTATGCCTTTGTTCTCCTTCGAAGTGATAATTCTCCCAAGGGTGTACGAGAGCTGCGGCAAGAGTTCCGCCTGAGAGTCCTTCACTAACTTCTGAAGGGCCTCTAAGGCGTGGGGCATAAAGCTAGATGATAGACGAGAGCCAACATTGATTATACTGCGAAGGGCTTGTAAGCACTCGTGATCTCTCAAAGACTTTGAAAAGTTCATTTGAGCAAGTTTATCTTGTATCCTTACACATTCCACATGCCCACATGCATCGTGCTCAACCAATAATCCAAAGATCCTGTTGACACCACGGCACGACAGATCAGGTAGGTGAGCAAAACATATCTTCTTCAATCGCAACCAATCTTCCCTTGATGCAATCCCAAGGGACGAAACAGACAAAACCAGATCAGTCAGTCTTTCATTGGTTGAAGCCTCGCGAACGTAGTTTTTGAGAATGTAGTCATGCAAATCCCCATCTGTTTCCAGTGGGGCGGGCGCTGGCCGAGGCACGCCGTGGAGACATCTTCCAAGAATCAGGCGCAGCCTGTTTGCCGGCAACATGGGTTAAAAGCTTTCTACAACTTGTCAGCGGGGGGATCCAAAAAAGAAAACCTTTAAAAACACCACACGCCGAAGATCCACCGCCCGCAAAAGCTTCGTTTAGGCTGGCGGCGGCGTGGGTGGGGCGC